ATGGTCTGAAAAAAATATAGCCGGTTTTCAACCCCTTCATTGACACCAAAAATATATCATAAAGGTTTGACAGATCACCGATAATTCACGAATGTCGCTGTGCTAATAAAATCTTGACTAATTTTTCGCCCTTTGTGAAAACGGATGGAAGGATCATAAATCACCATTACATTTCTGAACAGAAAAATTGTGAAATTTTTTCTTCAGGTGATTTACCCTTTAAACGAAGATCGATTGGAGAAGATCCGGAAAATGCGTGATGGACGATATCATGAAAACTAATTTCCTTCATGTGACACGGGTGATCAAAGCAAGGAACATAGAGACAATGTAGCCCAGACTTGTATTTTGATGCCGTTTTCTCAACAGAACATCATTTTCACCTGCCACCCAGTAATATTGATGTTCCTTACTCTTAATCTTCAGGAAAGTCCCTGAACCACGTAAAACTTTGTGGATATTCTAGTCGGTAGAGTTGGACTCGTGATTCAAATGTCAGTCACATAAGTCCTCCTTCATTTTCCATAATCAGATAGACGAGCATCATGACACGGAACATAGCAAGTGATCATGCGCTAAAATGGACCTTTGCCTGCGGGTACTCTCTTTAAAAACCAGTGCCCCAACCAATGTCAGTGCCGAATGAGATGCTCCATATAAGAACAGTAGCAGAAACTATTACAAACTTTTCTCCTCAGAGAAGAAATGAAAGTGGCCCTCCTCTTTTTCCTCAGGTGTAATTTTGGATAAAGACTCTGAACGTAAGAGTACTTAGGTATGGAAGTAGAAATCAATTCGTTGTCTGTTTATATAACGGTTAATGGTCTTCGTCATCCATGATTATTGGAAGCAATTAAGAAAAATGATATAAATTACTTAATTTACCAGTTACATCATCAGGGCAATCGCTAGTCGCTTTACTTTGACCCCGCTGGGGCGCAGTCTAGCAACGCGTCGACAAACAAGGAAGTTACATCGTTCTTTTCGAATGCTGCCTTGAACAACGTATAGAGAAACGGAGACAGTAAAGATATTAATGGTATGTTTGGATCATCTAATTTAATATTCCACCTTAGCAGGTAATGGTATATGGACTTTGTATAGGACAAGACTTATCAAAACCGATAACCTGATATTTCAAGGTACTAAACTACCTTGCCAGTAAACGTAGTTCTGCGAATCCTCTGCATTTGTCTCCTCAATTACAACTCTGATAACCGGAGTCAAATGGCAGCCAGCTTTAGTGTTATCACCTTTACCGGATCAATGAGGTAACTGTTTGAAATTCCTTGCAAATTATGCTAAAAACGTTGAATAATATATCTTTCAATAGTGGCAATCCTCTGCCATAAATTTCACTCAGTTTATGGCTAGCAACACAGATAAACAATGAATGAAAGTTAGTTCCAGAAAAAATTTTGATTTTTCGCTGCTTTGACTTATGACTGATTACTGAAAACGGTAACAACAGAGCTGTTGCAAAGAGTAACCGAAACAAATAAACATTCAAGAAATTTAAAGACTTTAATAAAATGATTTCGTATCGTTTATGGACACTTTGTGACATATTACGATTAAGTTTTGTCGTGTCGAGTAATTTTAATAACTGTATCTTTTTGGCTGTTGTTCACCAGCGGGATTTTATCTGCATAGTTCGGTATGCTTTACAAGAATTAGCAGCTGCCCAACATTACATCGAGTCGCTTTAGGGACTTAAAACCGATACCGCTGCTGGAGTGCACGATTTTATGGAATCATTAGTACGTTATAGTATTTACTGATGTCTACCCAGGTGGAAGCCTAACTTATGTGAAAACAACTGCGAGGCATCTTTTATAACTTCAGGTTGAATGATTAAAGAGCGATGCTGGAATTATAAAATTGCCAGTCCGTTACAAAAACTCCAATCATTTCAAACATTTAATATCGAGAAATTCATCAGAAGCCGGCTATATCATTGCCCACATAAGGAAGTTAAAGTAGAGATGGGCATGAAACGTTGCAAAAAAAACCTATTACTGCTGGATCAGAGACAAACTGAATTAGAAGAGAGAGTAGATGCCATGTACAAAGATCTGCACATCGATGGATGGATGAGCTGAAAAAGTTCGCTAGATCAAAATGGATGCAAA